TCCTCCTCCTCCTCCTCCTCCTCCTCCTCCTCCTCCTCCTCCTCCTCCTCCTCCTCCTCCTCCTCCTCCTCCTCCTCCTCCTCCTCCTCCTCCTCCTCCTCCTCCTCCTCCTCCTCCTCCTCCTCCTCCTCCTCCTCCTCCTCCTCCTCCTCCTCCTCCTCCTCCTCCTCCTCCTCCTCCTCCTCCTCCTCCTCCTCCTCCTCCTCCTCCTCCTCCTCCTCCTCCTCCTCCTCCTCCTCCTCCTCCTCCTCCTCCTCCTCCTCCTCCTCCTCCTCCTCCTCCTCCTCCTCCTCCTCCTCCTCCTCCATTAATCCAGTTAAAATAGAAAAAGAAAAAAATCCACGAAACGATCAATACAGAATACTAATTATTTTTATCTTTAAACAACCGTTTTCCTGATTATAAAGATGATATCAAATAAAATCAAACGAAATTAATCAAACATGAGTTTATTTTTTTACTTTTTTTCGTCTTCTTTTATGTATCTCTCTCTTGACTCGGGAATTATGTATATTTTCTTTTTGATTCATATTATTTGTGATCGTTGTGAACTTAGTATCTCGGTCATAATTCATGAGGAACTGCAAACATGTGTCAAGTTCAACTCAAATAAATCTCTTCATCTGTTGCTTCTTGATGTAAGAGTTACACACACATACGCACACACATACATGCGTACACAGACACGGGCACACACACACACACACAGAAGCACACACACACACACACACGCGGGAGCACAAACACACACGCACACACAGACGCACACACACACACACAGACGCATACACAGACACGGGCACACACACACACACGGAAGCACACACACATACACACACGCGGGAGCACAAACACACACACACACACACGGAAGCACACACACACACACACACGCGGGAGCACAAACGCACACGCACACACACACATACACATACACTTATATTTATACATACCTGTGTATATGTGGGCATGCATGTTTGTATGTGTGTTTTGTGTGTATATCCATATACCGACTCGAATTCCTCAAAAAGTTATTTCAAGAACAGTTTATTTCTCGGGGTTGATTCCTGCCTTTAAGGAATTTTGAGCATTTCAAAATGACAATACTCGGCCTTTATCAGCTACCGGAAGTCACAAGCAACATAGCCTCCTGATTTAACTTGATCCCGAGAAATCACAACGACATTTTTTTACCTCTACAATAATCCTCTTCAAGTACCATTACACGGAAGCGTACAACGATCTTTAAAAAAACTATACAACAACAATCTTAGACAGCAATAGGAACAACATTCTTTAAAAAAAACCGTTGTACCTATTGTATATTATTTACAAGTACCATATGGCGACGTTTGTGCTTTCCCCCCCCCCCCCCCCACCCCCCCCCTCCCCCCACCCCCCCTCCCCCCACCCCCCCTCCCCCTCCCCCCCTCCGTCGAACGTTCTGGAATGCAAGAAAGTACTGTCTTAGCTAAAAGTGGAGAGCCGAGAATCAAACAAAGAACAGACCAACCGAGAGATATGTAGAGGTAGGCATGATTTCTAATGCAAAATGACACACAATACCACGTCAGTACTTGCTTCCAGATCTAAATACCAACGTGTGTGTTTTCTCTTTCTGCGACTAAAAAAAAAAAAAAAAAAAATGCATATAAAAAAGAGAGGATGGTAAAGATGATGATGAAGAGGGAAGAGGAGGAGGGAAAAAATGATGATGATGATGATGAGGGTGATGATAATGATGATGATAATGATGATGATGACGAGGAGGAAGAGAAGGTAGAGGTAGAGGTTGAGATGGAGGTGGAGGTGGAGGAGGAGGAGGTGGAGGAGAAGAAGAAGAAGAAGAAGAAGAAGAAGAAGAAGAAGAAGAAGAAGAAGAAGAAGAAGAAGAAGAAGAAGAAGAAGAAGAAGGAGAAGACGTGGAGTAAAAATAAGGATAATTAGAAAAAGAATATATATATATATATATATATATATATATATTTTTTTTTTTTTTTTTTGTTCATTATCGAAAAGTCAAATATACACATTAAGAGGAGAACAACAACAAGCACAAGAGAAAGAAGAAGAAAAGATAGCTGAGACATTTGCTTCTGCCGAACTGTGACCGGCATACCTTCCTGCATTATGGGCATATCTCGCTTAAAAAAAAAAAAAAAGTGCGCATATAAGGAGTACCTACAATTTCTGCATTCATGTTAACATCGAAAGACTATTTAGCTTCCATAGTCACTTACTCTAAACAGCCCAAACTGCCTCATTCCTCATTAAGTTTATGACTTTTCCCCCCCAGATATAATTGCCCATTCGTGAACTCCCCCCTTCCCCCCCCCCCCTCCCCCCCCTTCCCCCTCCCGTTTCTCTTTACCAGTCAGTAACCAAATAAACTTAACTGTTTTGTTGACTGTCGGAGCCTGGTTGTCTCCCCCCCCTCCCCTCTCCCCCCTCCCATTTCTCTTTGCCAGTCAGTAACCAAATAAATGTAACTATTTTGTTGACTGTCGTTGCCTGGTTGTCCCTCCTCCCCCCCTCCCGTTTCTCTTTACCAGTCAGTAACCAAATAAACTTAACTGTTTTGCCCCCCCCCCCCCCTTTCTCTCTCTCTCTCTCTCTCCCCTCCCCCCCCCCCGCTTCGAGACGTCACGCTGAGACGGCCATTCGGAGATGATCCTTCGAGACAAAGGGGGCAACTAACAGCATCTTCTGAGGGATGTCTTGGGAGCCTGTGTGTGTTGCGGGGGATGTCATCTGGCCGGAGGGATTTATTCGTGCGGGGATGCTGGTAAACGTATCTGCGTGTATGTCATAAATTACGTATGCGGTACTTATGTGAGTATGTATATATTTATATAAATATGCATACAGATGTGTGTGTGTGTGTGTGTGTGTGTGTGTGTGTGTGTGTGTGTGTGTGTGTGTGTGTGTGTGTGTGTGTGTGTGTGTGTAAGCACTCACACATACACATACATACATACATATATATATATATATATATATATATATATATATATATATATACATATATATGTGTGTATGTATATATTTGCATATACATACGTATATATATGTATACATATTATATAGGCATACATATACACATGTATGTATGTACGTATGTATGTATATGCATTCACAAATATATATCTATATCTATATATCTATCTAAATCTGCCTATCTCTCTCTACCTATATGTAGATTACAGAAGCGCCTCAGTGGCCGCCGCAAGCCTCAGAGGTCGCTCACACCGCACGCGGTAAGGGACCATCCCCTCGCCCTGTCCCCTCTCGACGCCCTCGGCGCCCGCACGAGCCTTGCCCGTTCGAGAGACGGCGCCCGCACGCACAAGCAATTTCCTGCTTGTTCCGCCCATATTAGGGAAGGAGGTGGGACAGCCCGTTATGCTTGCCTGCTGAATCCAAGCACAGGAAGGGACAAGCTGGTATATTATTAGTCGTGGTTAACGTTTTACTGGGTTAATGAATACTGCATATTCAGCGAATGTCAGATACGCACGTTGGCCGTGTTCGGAATCCGCGAGCGATCCGGCCGCGCTTACACGAACGCTGACGTCATTGCCCTGTTACGTCATCGGGCGACGGCGGGAAAGTAATTAATGTTTCCGGGACTATTTATGGAGTTATTTTTCATTTATGAAGAAGTAGACATGAAGGTAATACAATTCATAATCACTTAGACTTCACGTTAAAGCTTGAAACCCATAAACTATAAATTACTTTTCGAATTCTACGCCATGTCGGATTTAGCAACACTTGTAACAAACAAACCATACGAATTTCAGAAAGTCAAAACACATTTATAAATAATATGAGGTATGTACATAAACGTCTAATTTGTGTGTGGTGTGTGTGTGTGTGTGTGTGTGTGTGTGTGTGTGTGTGTGTGTGTGTGTATTTATGCATACACACACACACACACACACCACACACACACACACACACACACGCACATACAAACGCACACACATACACGCACACGTATACGCATATGCATACGCACACACATACACGCACACGTATACGCATATGCATACGCACACACATACACGCACACGTATACGCATATGCATACGCACACACATACACACACACACACACTGTGTTTATTTGCATTTACGATTGTGCTTGCTCTGCCTTGGATAGTGTGCTTTCGCTAGAGGTCATTGCCTTGGAGAAGGAAGGTTGTGCTTTTTTTTTTTAATTATTTTTAATTATGGTTTTTGGTTTCATTCTCTTTTTTTTTTCTCTCTCTCTCTCTCTCGCTCGCTCTCTCTCTCTCTCGCTCGCTCTCTCTCTCTCTCGCTCGCTCTCTCTCTCTCTCGCTCGCTCTCTCTCTCTCTCCTTCCCTCCTTCCTCTTCTCCCTTCCCCCCTCCCTTTCTATCAAAAGCAAAAAAATGCAAATGTATGCAAATAATCTTTAATATTTCTGAATCTATCTGATGCACGTGCGACCTACCTACGCCAAACCAGTTATGTCATTTTGTAAAAGAGAAAAAAAAACAGACTTAGCGAAGCATATTGAATAATGCAAAAGATAAGACATATAAAAATATACAGCTACGTGTGTGTGTGTGTGTGTGTATTTATGCATACACACACACACACGCACATACAAACGCACACACATACACGCACACGCACACACGCGCCCACACACACACACACGCCACTGTAATGCGGTAATCATACACAAACAGAGGAAAACGCAGAGAAAAAAAACAGACTTAGCGAAGCATATTGAATAATGCAAAAGATAAGACATATAAAAATATACAGCTACGTGTGTGTGTGTGTGTATTTATGCATACACACACACACACACACCACACACACACAAAAAAAAATATGATTTAATATTCCTGTTATGATAATAATTAACGATTTTGTGTACTGAAATCTGAACAACACCCAGCTGGCAGCAAAGCGTTTAATTGGGGTATAATTTTTTATAGTTTTCATTGTCATGTCAATAAAAAAA